TTCAAACATTTTAATATTTGACTGGTGACTGGGATAGAGCTCACCAAAATTTGTGAATGAAAATGACCTCAATCTTCTTTAGAGGTCACAGAGGTCAACAACATTTTAATGGATTTGTTCTTAAGAGCTTAAAGGAATGGATTCATAAGTTTGGCTGGTAGCTTTTTGGAATAGAGCTAACCAATTTAAGAAGGAAAATGACATTGACCATACTTACAAGGTCACAGGGAAAAATATGTCAAGCAACTTCTGAAGAAGAATCAAAAAGCATAGAATCTTATAATAATATTTAGCTGGTAGTTTCAACAGATGGAGCCAACAAAGTTTGCGAGGGAAATATTTTTAGTGCAATATAATATTTAATGAGTATATTTTGATATGACTGCTTAAATATTCTGGTGAGCGATACAGGCCCTCTTGGGCCTCTTGTTTTAAATCAATATGCTGTATACCTGGGCATGTTTATCGAAAGTTTAACGTCAAAGTGTAATTGTTTCATCCAAACACCTATACTGTTCCTGACAGAAATATTAAAGGGATGACGCAGGATCTTAGATTTCTTTGTGTAGAATTTTGTTAATGCTTTCATCTTCTAGTTGGTTTAATTTTGTTCTATTCGCTTAAACTCAATTGTTCTACGATATCAAGTAAAGGTAATTGTTAAAGTAGACTTGTTTAGTGTATATTAAGAAATTATTAGGTTGTGCTTTTGAATGACAACTGTATTAATTGACTATGAAATATTCAGCATTTCGTGTCAAATGATTTGTAAACATAAAATATTTTCCCAAGGATTCTCCTTTGTAAGGAATGGATGTCTCTAGCATTTCTTATGCAATTCATATATAATGGCAGCCATTTAGAATTCCCGGTACATTCACCAGGAAGTTATGTTGATGATATAGATATATTCCTGTGTATCTGCTTCAGTTATGAATGGCATTGTCTGAGTGACATTTTGTTAATTGGATATTCATATCTGCCCTGAGGGGCAGGCGAAGTCAAGCTTCATTTAGTAAACAACCCATCCTACTTATGGAATATTGTTTTTGAATGCTGTTTATCATGTCCAAAATGCATGTGAAATAGACAACATAAATGTATATTTCATGTTGTCTGACATTGTTATTGACATTTGACATTGGGTATATTTACTAAGTACGAAATTTAATTAAATATATTTGTATACTATAAACAATGCTGCCAAGATTGTCTTAGGCCTCTTGGTCCTTGATTGGATCATAACTTTTGAGATTCCTAGTCTCAAACCACACGTATAACTCTGGGCTAGAGACAAAAAAAAATAAAGAACTCTAAATGCTCCAAGCATTGGCTCAAGGGTCTAGCCCTGCCCCTGGAGACATACTCCCTAGGTCTTGATATAGAAAGAGTTGATCATGTATTTTGCTTGGTCTGCATGAGGAGATAACTACACTTATTAAAATGCTACTCAGATAAATGCTACTAAGGTTGGCCCCACCCCTGGGGATTAGTCCTTGTTACATGTTCTCCACTTGTAACTTTGCACTTTTTTTGTATGTGTAGAGCATTCAACAGATTTTAAATTGATAGCAAAATTCCGGTTAAGCTATTTTAATGAGAAATTATGATCATAAAGCAGGTCTGAATATTAAATGTTTGATTCCATAAACCAGGTGTGTCTGTAAAGGTTTTTTAGTAGGGATCGATAAATCCCTCTTTCATGCACTATACACTTATACAATATATACCAAGTTATGGCCCTTTGCCGGGGTTTTTTAAACCTACTTTTGTTTTATGATTTGATTTGCATTATGGACAAGGGTAAGCTTTTACTGGACAGAAGCTTTTTAAAAGGAAACATCAAATGGGAGCACTTTGGCTAGTGAATAGTGAAGGACATTATATTTTCTCATTTAAACACATCCAAAATATAATCCAGCTTTCCTGAGTAATAGATATGATAGAAATGTATTCAATCACTGCATTTCTTACATGAAGACATCAGCGGAAGGTTTCCATGTGCAACCCTTTATTTTACNCCCCCCCCTTCCTCCCGCCACCACTTGTTACTAATGCAATCTGATTAAAATCATCTGTTACATGGGTTCAGGCAGAGCCATGTAACAGATGATTTTAATCAGATTGTTACTAATGCTTCACCCTATCAAATTGTCAGTGGGTTACCTTTCCTTTGTTTTTGGTCATGTCAGGTCTGCAGTAAGTTGTATGTAGCAATTTGATTGGCTGACAGAATATCCTGCAGCAGATATCGTCACCAGACTGTTAATGGTGTCAGATGTCAGTTTCATATCCAATAATAGGCTGTGCACTTCAAAATGTCAGAAAATATTTTAATAAGGTACTCACTGCTGATCTGGCCATTACAGTTAAATGATTATAAACCAAACACTGGTTTGTTGTTAGGATTGCTTACCGATTTATATTTCAAGTAAGTTCAGCATAGTGAAATCCCAGAAGAGAACTTCGATAATGGAAATTATACTTCCCTGATCAGCTCAAGTCACTATATATGTATTGATTAATGTAGTTGAAATCAAATCCAGAACAAATGGAGTATTGAGACTACCAATAATTAATTGATTTATATGGTTTACAGGTATAAACTTGATGCTGCAATATATTACCGTCAATTGAAATCAAGTCAGCTACATGTATGTGGTCATTTTCTGTTCTTTGTTCTTGTATCGTTTGCAATGTGTTGATTTGTTGTTTAGTCGAACAATCCCCTGGTAGCTTAATGTAGCATGCTAAAAATATATCAAACGCATGCAACCATTAAAAAGTTAATTTATATTTAAATCCTAGTGAGAAATTACTCCATCTTCAATGTGGTATATATCAGAAGTCACGAATAGGCTCAGCTATCTGTTTGACAATTGTACCTACGTTATTGATGGTGCCTTCAGTCGTACAGTGAGGCCTGGTTGGTACCATTTTTGATACTCTCTATTTGGATGTGAAAGCCTCAATAAAATAACTTCTTTGTTCATTCAAAGATAAATAAATACCAATGTTATATGTTAATAGTTTTTAGGTCACCTGAGCTTTAGCTCAAGTGACCTATTGCTATCCGTTTTCATCCGTCGTCGTCCGTCGTCCGTTAACATTTTACATTTCAAACTTAAAGTCAAGTTCTGCTGGGCCGATTGAACTGAAAGTTGGTAGGAATGATCGCCTCATGGTCCTGACAAAGTGTTGTTATTTTTCGGGTCGATCAGAAATCCAATATGGCCGCCACGGCCGCCATTTTGAAAACCTATTTCAAACTTAAAGTCAAGTTCTGCTGGACCGATTGAACTGAAAGTTGGTAGGAATGATCGCCTCATGGTCCTGACAAAGTGTTGTTATTTTTCGGGTCGATCAGAAATCCAATATGGCCGCCACGGCCGCCATTTTGAAAACCTATTTCAAACTTAAAGTCAAGTTCTGCTGGACCGATTGAACTGAAAGTTGGTAGGAATGATCGCCTCATGGTCCTGACAAAGTGTTGTTATTTTTCGGGTCGATCAGAAATCCAATATGGCCGCCACGGCCGCCATTTTGAAAACCTATTTCAAACTTAAAGTCAAGTTCTGCTGGACCGATTGAACTGAAAGTTGGTAGGAATGATCGCCTCATGGTCCTGACAAAGTGTTGTTATTTTTCGGGTCGATCAGAAATCCAATATGGCCGCCACGGCCGCCATTTTGAAAACCTATTTCAAACTTAAAGTCAAGTTCTGCTGGACCGATTGAACTGAAAGTTGGTAGGAATGATCGCCTCATGGTCCTGACAAAGTGTTGTTATTTTTCGGGTCAATCAGAAATACAATTTGGCTGCCATGGCCGCTATTTTGCTACTAAGTTCTAATAGGCCGATCTCACTTAAAATTGGTCTAGGAATGATCAGCTCATGGTCCTGACAAAGTTAAGTTAACATTATACTATTTTTTACTCAAATTGGTACATATTTCAACAACAAAAATAAATATTGTAGGACTCAGGTGACCGTTAAGGCCCATGGGCCTCTTGTTTATAAATACCATTGGTAAGATGTTTATAATATTTATAGATAAATACCTGAGTGGTATACTTATATAGTTAAATACCAGTGGTATACTTTTATAGTTAAATACCAGTGGTATATGTTTATTAATAAATAAATACCAGTTGTATACATTAATAGATTAATAAATACCATTTGTTAATTCTTTTGTTGATAAATATAATTTGTTTATGTCTAAAGATTAGAAAATACATTGATACAAGCCTTAAGATGAGTGGTATTTGTCTATAGATTAATAAATACCATTGATACAAACCTTAAGATACATAGTATATGTCTATAGATTAATAAATACCATTGATACAAACCTTAAGATGAGTGGTATTTGTCTATAGATTAATAAATAGCATTGATACAAACCTTAAGATACGTAGTATATGTCTATAGATTAATAAATACCATTTGTTTATGTCTAAAGATTCGAAAATACCATTGATACAAGCCTTCAGATATGTAGTATATGTCTAGATATTCATATTAGTTATATACAGAAACAATCTGTAAAAAATATTTTTCATGTGGGGTTTTTCTTGCAGGGTTATTTAGACATAATAAATCAGATTATAATGGATTTATCTATAAATTTATCTATACATTATTCAAATGCTTAATAACATAACGACATTAATGTAGGTTTTCATATCCCAAATAACATAACGACATTAATGTAGGTTTTCTTATCACAAATAACATAGTGTATAAAGAGCAAGCTGTAGAATATACAACTATTTACATCAAATATATAATCGGCTTTTACTGATGTCATTTTGTATTTTCAGATATCGTTATAATCAGTTTACTAGCAGAAATATTGAAAAATATCTAATATACATGTGACTGCTCCCTGATGTCGATGTATTTGAAACTATTTTGATAAATGAAATAAAAGCTATCACAATAAAAATATTAGACTTATATGTATGATCATTAATATTTTGTTAATCTATTTTCAGCTTTTTGCAATTGATAACTGTGTTGAGGACTGGCGAATAGCGATTTCCTGGAAAAGACTTTCCCAACTATTGACAGAGATTCTAGTGTGCGTGGTGCACCCCATTCCAGGCAATTTCCACTTCACTTGGTATACCATGAAGTACGATGGGTCGGAACTGTTAAAAAATGTTGTTCCTGTGGACATCCTTTTATCTCTACCGATGTTTCTAAGACTATATCTCATCGCACGGGTAATGCTTTTACATAGTAGATTATTTACAGACGCTTCGTCCAGGAGTATAGGTGCTTTAAACCGAATCAGTTTTGACACCCGTTTTGTGCTGAAGACACTGATGACAATATGTCCCGGTACAGTCATGCTTGTGTTTATGCTTTCGTTGTGGATTATTGGCAGCTGGATCCTCCGCTCCTGCGAATAGTAAGTGGAGTTTTCTTTAACATTTCTGAAAATATTTCCAGGTGAAATATGTTTTAGTGACAATACTTTGTGTCATAGAATTTCATGATTTTAAACATTTTATTTTATGTTGCATCTTTAGAACATTGATTATCAGCCCTGTAGTGTATTGATTAAAAAAAATAGGATTTAAAATTTGTGTCAGGAACAGAATTTGGTTCCACGGTACAGTTAAAGATGATCCTTCCTAGATGGTAGGTGGTGTTTATGAAGAGGTTATAGTCTGCATTGTTTGTAAGAGTGCTCACTATAAGGATGTTCTGCTCATAAATGACCCTAGGAATGCATCACTTGTCCACTGATAAAAACCAATATTGACTTGGAGCGCATGTGTTTTTTGTTGAAGGACTGGGTGTTTCTAAAAATAGAATTATAACGTGTCTCCAAACAATGCACCGTCCCACTTCAGAAGTTTTTTGGTTATGTTGTTTTTTCAGATTGCTTACATTACTGTTTTGTAAAATAATAAAACAATTGTAGCCTTTAACTGCGTTCAATACCTGGATTTATCGACCTCAGCTAAAGGCTAATTGAATAATATTATTCGTGGAGTATGACCTCACAACAAAAATACATTTTTTACAACTGGTCAATTTTATCAGGTTTGTGAGAGGTGATGTCCTGGTATTATAAACACATTGAAAGCCTGGCCATCTTAACGGGAAATTAATGCTAAGTTTTCCAGTAAACTATATTTCAAAATTATTAAAATCTCCTAGTAAACAACATTTTAAAATTACTAAAAACTCAAAATTTTTGGAATAAGTCTAAACTTCAATACAGGTAAATAACCATTTACGGAATGTTTTTAAGAATTTGTTGTTAAACTAGCAAATCTTCCATGATGAGTCCTTAATAAATAAAGGTGCAAAAAACTCATCTGCCCTGATTTCAAAACAGTTACCATACTGGTCTCAGGAAATTTCAAATATTTGTTAGCTTAATATTTTCAAAATCAGGATTTTGAAGTTGACTTCTGTCTAAATATCCTTGAAATTAAGAAAATAATTGTTTCATAATTTTTGTATTAACTGATTGTTTTGAATCTCAACACATTCTCCATACACAGTTATACACATTTCTGTTTAAAAAATTCAGTGTTAATATATATTCTTCCCTGTTTGTTTTGGTTTTATTTTGAGTCGTTGCAAGTCAACAACATCAAAGATTTCACTTCAGATAAACAGTCTAAGAGAATTTTGCCATTTAGTGAATAATACAACAATCTTTTACACTGTATCTAGATTATATATTATAAATTATATATTCACCCGACACCAAATTGGAATTGTCTGATAAAGAAGAATTGGCACAGTCGTCTGTTGCTAACTAATTAAGAAATTCACGCAATTTCTTGCCTTAAATAAACTTTCATATCCTTTGGGGGTTCTCAACCTATCGATTGAAACTGCAATCCCACTCCCTAAAAGGAGCAGGGCTCGTCACATCAATAAGTTACCAAGTCCGAGTGTGTAATTTGTGAGTACCCAGCGTATAATTCTGTAACAGGGGCGTTAGACGAGTGCGCATCCCCTATGACCCAACAAATTGATTGCCTTACAAAATTGATAACCATTTACATTACCAGGGTTCTGTGTCACTCTCGTGTAGATCGTTTATAAAGTCTGACAGTTATACCTACCGCAATATATAGCTCTCTGTACAGCATCACGCTGTACCAACCTCCTACGCAGCAAAAACGTAAATATTTAGATTTTTTTAGATTTTTTAAAAATTTAATGAATTTGATCACTGAAATTAATGAAATGGGTGTTTTATAGATTTGTGTGTGTACTTTAATGGTGCTGTATAATAGGGTTTTGTACAGTTTATCAGGAGGGGAGGGGACAGAAAAAGCGGAACCCTCCAAACTGTATATAATGGACACTGTTACAAACTCCGACCTATAGCTATAGCTACTGGTCACTGATGATCAGCCAGGAGCCACTATACTACTACCTCCACACTTCTGACTAGCCCAAACACATCTGAATATTTACAGTTACATATATCCCCTTGCCAAATATACACTAATACTTGAAAAAATGATTTCTCAACATAATGAATTAGTAACAAGGCTGGAAAACAGCAGTACAGACCAGGATTTGAACTGGAAAGCTTAAACTTTAGAAAGACAGTGTACTTGCTAAACTATCTATCACCAGAGGTCCACCCGTCCAGATATGCTAAACTATCTATCACCAGAGGTCAACCCATCCAGATATGCTAAACTATCTATCACCAGAGGTCCACCCGTCCAGATATGCTAAACTATCTATCACCAGAGGTCAACCTGTCCAGATATGCTAAACTATCTATCACCAGAGGTCAACCCGTCCAGATATGCTAAACTATCTATCACCAGAGGTCCACCCGTCCATATATGCTAAACTATCTATCACCAGAGGTCCACCCGTCCATATATGCTAAACTATCTATCACCAGAGGTCCACCCGTCCATATATGCTAAACTATCTATCACCAGAGGTCGACCCGTCCAGATATGCTAAACTATCTATCCCCAGAGGTCAACCTGTCCAGATATGCTAAACTATCTAACACCAGAGGTCAACCCGTCCAGATATGCTAACCTATCTATCACCAGAGGTCCACCCGTCCATATATGCTAAACTATCTATCACCAGAGGTCAACACGTCCAGATATGCTAAACTATCTATCACCCGAGGTCAACCCGTCCACATATGCTAAACTATCTATCACCAGAGGTCCACCCGTCCAGATATTCTAAACTATCTATCACCAGAGGTCAACCTGTCCAGATATGCTAAACTATCTAACACCAGAGGTCAACCCGTCCAGATATGCTAACCTATCTATCACCAGAGGTCCACCCGTCCAGATATTCTAAACTATCTATCACCAGAGGTCAACCCATCAAGATATGCTAAACTATCTATCACCAGAGGTGAACCCGTCCAGATATGCTAAACTATCTATCCCCAGAGGTCAACCCGTCCAGATATGCTAAACTATCTATCACCAGAGGTCCACCCGTCCAGATATGCTTAACTATCTATCACCAGAGGTCAACCCGTCCAGATATGCTAAACTATCTATAACCAGAGGTCAACCCGTCCAGATATGCTAAACTATCTATCACCAGATGTCAACCCGTCCAGATATGCTTCTTACAATTACAGTCGCAGTGTAAAATTTGAGTCAAATATTTGTCAGTCCAATCTTTACTGTATATTATCATTGATAAGCTAGACATTTCAGCAAGTCTGGGAGGGGGTCGTGGGAGGGGGTCTGGGGAGGGGGTCGAGGGAGGGGATCTGGGGAGGGGAAAGAGGACTGGGTGGCTGAAGGATAGGAGAATGTACTAGGAGCTGAGAGGACACAAACCTTTTGTGAGAGGATCAAGTTTGGTTTAAGGACCAAACATGAGAATGATTAGTATAGTTCTTGTGTGAGAGGGTCGTAAGATGGCACACTATAACTTTACAAATAAAGTAGCTAAATGACAAGTTGAGTGCTATAATGTTTGTGTCAGAACTGTCTTTATTCATTAATTCATTCAGAAACTATATATCACCTCCCCTTATCCTCATTAGTACCGTGCTATCATCAGACTTATCAGTACTTGCCTGACTGTTACAGTCATATATCACCCCCCCTTATCCCCATTAGTACTGTGTTGTCAGGTTTTTTCCAGGTCAAGTGACAAGATCTGAGTCAATACTTGCCTGGCTGTTTCAGTCATATATCACCCCCCTTATCCCCATTAGTACTGTGTTGTCAGGCTTTTTCCATGTCAAGTGACTAGGTCTGAGTCAATACTTGCCTGGCTGTTCCAGTCATATATCACCTCCCCTTATCCCCATTAGTACTGTGTTGTCAGACTTTTTGGTCAAGTGACTAACTTGCCTGGCTGTTCCAGTCATCTCACTTTCCCATCAGTACTTCTTCGTCAGTCAATTCACTTTACCTCTGGGTAATATTTTCTGCAATATGTACATTACCTTTGAGAAGCTGCCCACATATCGTGTGATATAATGGTCGACACTGGCAAGTGTCCTATCTAGATCTGGTAGTTATACCGTCAATAGTAATACTCACTCCAGGGACACAACGTTTGGATTTTCCATTACAAATCTCCAAAGGGACCCCTTAATACAATTTTCTTCGCTGGAAGAATAGTCACAATGTTGGAACCCGTTACAGTCGGAACGTTCTATTCTACAAGGCAAAATATTCCTTTAAAGGATGTTGGGGCCATAATGAAAGCTCAGCGAGAGGTCTGTTTGACGGAATGTATGGGATGGCAGAATAATGTCATTTAAAGAAACACAGTTTAGACCAATGTGTCCACTGCTGGTCCGTCAAGGTGACAGGCAGTCGTGTTGATTATTGATTTGTTGACAATATGCGGGGACACTTGTCTGAGGTATGGCAGACAGTCAGTCCTCCATGAGATATACATGTATATCGCCAGGCCTGCTTTTCCTTAAAGGTCAGCAATAGAATAGCTAAAGAATCTGATTTTATATTGTTTTTCTCGAATGATGTTTTATTGAAAATGGCATGCCGGTAGAACAACAGGTTGTGTGCTTGTTTTGTCCTCAGTTTATTTCCTTTGGTTAAGGATGTATGCTACCACACACATTTTACCTCTGATTCGTATAAGAGTTCTTTCCCTTTTAATTGAGATGTCTGCATTTTTGTGACTATTCAAGTTGATAATGTAGTAAAATGAAAATGAAATAAAAGAAAGGAAACATATGAAATGCAAAGGCAAATTGCAGTGATAATATATTTTGTAAGCTGACATGGTTTACGAGTGGCAATAGTGCAAGAGCCCATATTTCAAGTTACTTTGAATTTTAAGTTTGGGTATGTAGTTCACTCTATTTTCTAGTGTATCGAAATTCAATCGTAAAATAGTTGAATTGCGATATTAATATCCTGATGCGAATTGAATCGTAAGTAAAGTACATTG